GCTTAAAAATGTAATGCCCTTTGACTCAGTAATCCTGCTTCCAGGAATTTATCTGTTGGGAAAAGATTCAACCAGTGGAATGCTTATTTTAACTTAAATTTTAATTTCAAGGAAATATCTGAGTATGATAAATCCCACTCAACAGAAATAATACCATCATTTAATATAATTAATTCATAAATATTTTTATAAATACTTTTTGAGAGCCAACTATGTGCCAGGCACATGGTATATAAAACAACATGGGAAAATGTTGATAGTAATAACAGTATTATTAGAATGCTTACCACGTGCCAGGCATTGTTCTTACTGCTTTACATATAAAAACTCATTTAGTCAGCACAGTGGCCATATGAGGCAGGTGCTGACATTATCCCCATTTTATTGTTCAGATAGTTGAGGCACTGAGTTAAGTGCCTCGTCCAAAGTCACATGGCTACTAAGTGGCACAGGTGAGATTTCAGATCCAGCTATTCTGGATCTAAAGTCCTCATTCTTAACCACTATGCAATTAATAGCAACAATTAAAAAATAGATGCTTGCTTCTTAAAAAATGGGGAAAAAAAGTACACCAAAAATGTAGCAATGTTTGTATTGAGGCAGCAAGATGATCACTCATACTTTGTGGTCTCGATTTTGTTTTGTTTTGTTTTGTTTTTTTAATCATAAAATATCTAAGTTTTTATTTTAGGTTTTCTTCACTTGGCTGTCTTGATGCATGAGGTGACTGTACCGATGCACAGGTGTCCTTCACCAAGAATCTTTGTGATCTTGAAAATAATTGGCCACTGGGACTATAGTTAGCCTTGGATTTAGTTGGTAAGAGCCCCCAGGCTCACTCCCTACAGATAGAGCCAAAGAAGATGAGGACTGAAAGTAGGGGAGGCTGTTTGGGCTCAGGATTACACATCAGGCAAGCTGGACTATTTTCCCATACTGTATCACAAAGTGACTGACCTGGGTCCCTGTATATTTATAAATTTATTGATTTAAGTAGTTCTGCCCAGTGCCTTAAGCCTGAGGGCACTTAAATCTATTTTTAAAGACAATAATTAAAACGAATATGTTAAATATTAAAAACTAAAGTAATCACTTGTAATGTCCTGTTGGTGAGACCGGTCTTAGAAGATGGATTTGGGGAAGCAAGCAATATCAGGGATTCAGGGCCCCATTAAAAATGGCCCATTTGTCCACAGTTGGTTAAGTGTTTAGATAAGGGGCTGACAGTAGTGGTACTAACTTTAACAAAGCTGCCTTGTATCAAGGGGGGACTATGCTATTAAAAAGTCATGTTCCGTCTCCGTAAGTGAGGTCACTTGCTGTTTGTCCAGGAACCTAGCTCAGTTCTGATAGGAACAAAATTTGAAAAATTATGTTGTGAAGTAAGAGTTGCATGCCCTGGACGTAGGCGTCTTTCTGATGGGAATGAGATTTGAAAACTTTATAAGTAGATATATGTATTTTTTCTTTTTCTTCTTAAAAACCACTTTCAATTGCACAAGTAGTTCTTGGTCACTGTAGGAGAATGTGAAAGCCAAATAAAAGAAAACAGACAAATATAATGCAAATGATTCCACACTCTAGATGTAACTCACTGTTAACAACTGTTATGTTGTTACTGGTTTCCAGCTAGTTGATTCTGCCTCATGGCAACGCCAAGTGTGCAGAGTAGAACTGCTTCATATGGTTTTCAAGGCTGTGACTTTGCAGAAAGTCACATTTTATGCCTACATACATGATTTACTGTTTAATCTTCTAAAAGTAAAAAGTTCCTAGAGTTTACAATCACTAGCTTGCTTAATTGATTTAAAAGAAACTGAAAGAACATTTTCCCTGTATTTTTTATTCTAACCTAATAGTATGAGATTACATTGAATCTATAGGTCAGTTTGGGGAGAATGAACATCTTAACAATACTGAGTCATCTGACCAGTGAACAAGGTATAGCTATCCAGTTATTTAAGGTTTATAATATACATCTTTAATGTACTGCAGTATACTTTCAGTGTACTTCACATGTAGTATAAGAACCTTACTTCCATTTCTCCCCTTCCTGCCTTTATGGTGATATTGTCATACATTTTACTTATACATATGTTATAAACTCTACAATACATTATTATTGATATTTTTAACAATTTATTTTTATTAGCTTTTAAAGAGATTTAAATATTAGGAAAAAATCACATATTTACCTATGTAGTAATTATCATTTCTTGTGCTTGTCATTCTTTTCTGTAGAAACTGTTGTCATACATTTTACTTATCCATGTTATAAACCTTACATTATTATTGATTTTGTTTAAAAAATTTATTTTTATTAGCTTTTAAAGAGATTTAAATATTAGGAGGAAACCACATATTTACTTATGTAGTAATTATCATTTCTGATGCTCTTCATTCTTTTCTGTAGAAAATGTTGTCATACATTTTACTCATACATATGTTATAAACCCTACAATATGTTGTTATTAATTTTGTTTAAATAAAATTATTTTTATTACCTTTTAAAGAGATTTAAACATTAGGAAAAAATCACATATTTACCCATGTAGTAATTATCATTTCTGATGTTCTTCATTCTTTTCGTATATCCATTTTTATATCTGGTGTCATTTTCCTTCTGCCTGCAGGGTTTCTTTTAACATTTCGTATATTGTGGGTCTGCTGGTGATAAATACTTACAGCTTTTTAATTTCAGCTTTTCTTTTAATTTTGCCTTTGTTTTTGAGGTATTTTCACTGGGTACAGAATTTCAGGTTGACAATTTTTTCTTTCAGTGCCTTAAAAATGTCACTCCACTGTCTTCTCACCTACATTGTTTCTAATGAGAAATCTGCTGTCATCCATATCTTGTTTCTCTGCCCATAAATGTCTTTTTTCCTCTGGCAGCTTTTAAGATTTTCTTTTTATTAGCATTTTGAAATTTCAATTAGGACATCCCTTGGTGCCGTTTTCTTCGTGTCTCTTCTGCTTCATGTTCCTTGAGCTTCTTGGATCTATCAGTTTAGGATTTTCCTCAAATTTGGAAAATTTTTGGCCATTTCAATTTTTCTTCCTATTTTCCCCCTCCAACAGCCAGGGCTCCAGTAAAACTCATATTAAGCTGACTGAAGGCATCCCACAGCTCACTGATAGTCTCTTTATTTTTAGTAATTCTTTTTTTGTCTGTGTGTTTCATCTTGGGTACTTTGTATTGCTATTATCTTCAGATGCACTGATCTCTCCTTTTGCGTGTCTGAACTGCCAGTAAAACCCCATCCAGTGTGTTTTTCATCTCAGCCGTTGTAGTTCATATCTCTAGAACTTTGATTTGGGTCTTTTTTTATATTTTGCTTTTCTCTGCTTACCTTTTTGAACATAGACAGTACAGTTATAATGACTTTTTTAATGTCCCTGTCTACAAATTCTAACATCTCTGTCAGTTCTGGGTCAGTTTTGATTGGTTGATTATTCTCCTCATTTGGGGTGCTCTTCTTGCTTCTTTGCATGGGTGATAATTTTTGTTTTGTGCCAGCCATTGTGATTTTACCTTGTTTGGTGCTGGATGTTTTATATTCCTATAAATATTCTTGATCTTTGTTCTAGGATGTGGTTATTTGGAAACTTTGGTCCTTTGAGTCTTGCTTTTATAATTTGTTGGGCAGGTCCGGAACAGTGCTCCCTCTAGGGCTAATTATTACCCACTATTAAAAGACCTTCCTGAGTTTTCTATCCACTGCCCCTGAATTGTGAGTTTTTCCAATCTGGCTAGTGGAAACCGGCACTCCTTGTGGCCCTGTCTATGTGCCAGGCACTATTGTCTAAGCCTTTGAAATAATGTTTTCTTCACCTTGGATAGTTTCTTGACACACATGTTCTGATTCATACTCTGCTGAATACTGTAGAGGGACCCTCTGTGGGTCTTTGGAGGTCTTTCTCTGTGCTGCTGTCTCCTCTCCAGCACTCTGTCCTGCACAGTCCAGCCATGTCGAAGTCCTTACACCCTCAGCTGTTTCCTCAACTCAAGGAGTCTATCGGGCTCCTCTCTGCACTGCAGGCTGGAGACTCTCAGGGCAGTAAGCTGGGCCGTCAGAAGGCTCACCTCTTGTCCCGTCACTTAGGGGTCACTCTTCTTCACTGCCTGCTGTCCAACACTGTGAAAAACACTGATACAGTTTGTCTGGTTTTTTAGTTGTTTCAGTAAGAAGGATAAATTGAGCCCCTGATACTCCACTTGAGTGGAAGCAGAAGTCTCCTGACACTAGATTTTAATGGCCCATTGACATGTTTCCTCCACTTTGAGGGTACAGGGAGGTAGTCCAGTGCACGGAGAAGAGCATGGGTTACAGAGTCAGACCACCTGGGCTCACATCGCTGCTTTACCACTTCCTCGGCCAGGTTAACCTCTCTGTGCCTCTGTTACCTCACCTGTATGATGTTGTTGCCATGTGCCATCGAGCTGATTCCAACTCATAGCAACCCTATAGGATGGGGTAGAACTGCCCCCCCCCCCATAGGGTTTTCAAGGCTGTATTCTTTACAAAAGCAGACTACCATATCTTTCTACCATGGAGTGGCTGGTGGGTTTGAACCACCGACCTTTTGGTTAGCAGCTGAGCGCTTAACCACTGCACCACCAGGGCTCCTTTCATCTGTATAATGGGGGCGATAATAATTGTCCCTCCTAGAATAAAATGAGATAATGCAGTTAAAGTATAACATAGTTCCTGGAACTTGGTTACATGTTCAGTACATTTTAGCTATTGTCATTTTACTGTAATTATTGTGAGACCTCAGTGAACATTTGTCGAGTAAATGCATGCTTGCTCTCGGCCTCAAGTACCATAGGTATTATCACCATAGGTGCACCGGGACCTGGAATTCGGGGAGTTGGAAAACTTGGTCTTGTGCTCCCCAAATTACAGTGCATCGGTGATATACCCCCTCTTCACCACCACTGTCATTCTGAGGGCTTTCATCCCCTGAATAAGCAGACCTAGATTATGTTTGTTTTTCAGGAGAAGACAGGAAGACCCCCAGCGAATCAAACAGCCCCTCTTCATCCTCCCTCTCAGCTCTGAGTGATTCGGCCAACAGCAAAGACGACTCAGATGGTTCTCAGAAAAACAAGGGAGGGAACAACCTGCTGGTCATCTCTGTCGTGCCTGGGAGCCAGTCCTCACTGAACAGTGAGGAGAAGCCAGAGAAAGGTAGGAGGTGGATGTGCCTGCTCAGCCCTCCTCACTCTAGGGTGACCCAGGCGTGACAATAGCCCTACGAGACAGGTGGTGTTGGAAAGCCGATATTAGGCCCAGGTTACAGTGTAATACACGTCACCTAAAATTTGAATTTCCTTTGGCTTGATTTGCATCCAAATATGGGTGGAAGGATGGAGAGGGTAACACTTACTCTGAAGCATTTAACTCCTTTTAACACGGAGATGCAGGGATCAATGGCTGGAGGAGTGTAGACGCATGGGGTGGGAGGAAGAGGAACTTGGCCCCACTCCTGCCCTCCCGTCTCTCTGCCCCTTGCACCTGTACACCCAGCCTCGGTCCTTTCAGGGTTCGAATGCGTTTTTTGCAACTTTGTCTGCAAGACGAAGAATATGTTTGAGCGCCATCTGCAGATACACCTCATCACCCGGATGTTTGAGTGTGACGTGTGCCACAAGTTCATGAAGACCCCCGAACAGCTGCTGGAGCATAAGAAATGCCACACTGTCCCCACCGGTGGGCTCAAGTAAGGAAAGCAAGTACAGAACCTTTTACTGCGTTGTTACTAAACACCCCTTCCCCTTCCCTGCCCCATCCTCTCCCCTGAAGGTTTTGGGGTCTTGGAGAGGGAGAGCTTGGTATGCAGGAAGTTAGGTACCTCTGCTGCCTTTAGACTTGTCCCCCAGGGGGTCAACAGAAGTTCTCAGCAGGAGAATCCATTTCACAGATATCCTGGAATTCAGGGCAGGGAAGAAGATACGTTGGATCAGCTCAGCCTGCAAGGGTAGAATCATCCTATACCGTTGGGTTTTGTTCAGACTTGATGTTATTAATGGACTCGGGTTAGTGCCCCAAGTGTAAATCATTAATTACACTGTCACTGCAGTTCACCATCTCTAGTTTTAGATGATTTACCATATAGCTTTTAAATAAGCATGACAACCACCCCATCCCCACTCCACCCCTAAAAGTGGGAACCTTGGCAGTTTGAATAGGCAAGAGGCAACGTTTCTCAGGCAAAGATCCCGTGCCTCATGTCTTCCTGAAGGCATTCCTTATACCTTTCCAGGAACTAGAACTGGGATCGCCTTGGTTGACCCTTCATGAGATCTGACATTGCCAGTCACGTCTTATTCTCAGATGCCCAAAGACCTAGACAACCTGTAGCATCATTAACCAGTATTTGTAAGAAGCCAGCTGGTCCCAAGTGAGACCAATCAGTTACTGTCACACGTACTATGTGTCTGGCTTGATAATAGGCACTAAAGGGCAAGCAAAGAATGAACTAAAATTTCCACACTCAGGAAATCTATGTCCTAGCACTATCAGAGTATCATCTTCCTAGTGATTCTAAATTCAGAATCCCTGTTCATTAGGCACTTATGGTCTAGTAAAGAGAAAGACGCATAATGTAGTCAGTCACAGACAGAAAGCTACACAATGCTACTTTCAAGCCTTAACTATTAATTTTTAGTTAAAATGATCATACAATTAAAAGAATGGAAAATTACTTTTAATTTAATGCAGAAAAAAAAAAACTTTGGGTTTAAAATGCTTTCATCTTTGGAATTCACAACCTGCCAGAGAGGTAGCATAACCTTCCTGAGTGGGTGACAGATGGAAAGACCCAGAAGGACCCTGAGGGCCCGGTGTTGGGCAGTGCAGGATCAGCTCCCCTGCCTGGCCAGGGGGACCTTCCCCAAAAACTTGCCCAAACAGAAGAGTTAGGGAGCAGCACCTACTATTGACTTCCATGTTGTTTCACTCGGGTACACTCAGGTGGGAGAAGGGGCGGGGTGTAAGAAAGCTGAGGGAAGCGGGAGGTTATAATTCAAAAAACACAATAGAAGGGAAATGCCTGGCCAGAGATAATTTGGAAACTTGATTTGGTTTGTTCTCCCCGTCCCTTTCTAAATATTTATATACTCTTTAAAAAAATAAAAAATAAAAAACAGTTTTTTTTTTCCCTGTGGTCAGACTAGTGCCCATTGCCCAGTCACACCTGTTAACTTTGCGGCACCTGCCGGTCGTGGCTTTGCCAGTCAGCCTTTCCTCAGGGCCCTGAGAAATCCCGAGCCTCTGAACCTGTTGGGGAGAATGCACAGTGAAACCTGATGCTTTTGCCAGTCCAGCCACTTCCCGCGGTGCTAACGGTCCCCTGTGTAATAGTTTATGTTCTAGGATGACCAAGTAGAAGAATACTTTGAAAAAATTGATAATGCCTTCTGGCTATACAGTGAGTCTTTGTTTCGTTTTGTTTTGTTTTCCTTTGCCGTTTCTGAGAATTAATTTGCCTGAGAGAATGTCTTTAAGATAAATCCCGGGAGCACGGAAAACCCTTAGCACTTTGCCTGAGCAGTGAAAGAAAGATGGAGCTGTGGGTCACAGAAATGTCCTTAAAATGAAACAGACTGCAGATGTCTCAATTGCTTTTCTGTGATGGAACTGCTTGTACTCTATATCCTGTTCATAATGCAGATCAAATAAGATTATACTATTATTTTTCTTTTGCCGTAGCTCAGGACAGTGGTGAGTGTCACACTCCTCTAGGTAAGGCCCAGCTTGGCGTAGGGGTTGTGTGTGCACCTGACCTGGGAATGGGCTTTACATTTCTCTTGTGTGCACTCTTCTGTGAGCTGAGGTTCAAAGGCTAACGGCGAGCTTGGCGCTGGCTGAGGAGGCCGTGCACGGTGCACTTGGTTGTGTTGGGCTCTGCTGAACACCTCTCCAGACCCTCAGAGGACAATGCACTCTTGGCCCCTGCCCTGCGGCTGCCAAAGAGTCGAGGCAGCCACTTTTGCATTTGCATTCTTGTAAAGAGAGCAAACACTACAGCTATCGTATAACCACTGACTCAAGCACAGCAGCTTCTAAGCGAGAAGCCCAGCAGATTTTGTAAACATGCCCCAACTGCTCCTCCCAACCCCTCTGGGCAGCTCGAGGGTTGGTGGTAGTGTATCCTCGATGCAAGGGATAGAGAAACTGAGGCACAGAGAGGCCTGGCTTTTGTCCCAGAGCTTCCAGCCAGAGCCTAACGAGGGGATGGAGCCGGGTCGAAAATCTGCCCTTCCAGAATCTGCCTAAACTATGTGTCGAGAGGACTCAAATACTGAATTAGTGTTTCCTGGGTGCTCCCCAAGTGCTGAGTACTCTACCAAGCACCATAGAGAATACAAAAGAAATGTTAGATATGGTCCTGCCCTCTGAGAATTTATGATCCAGTTGGATTATTGTTATTTCTGTGACACAATCGTGTCCTAATGTCTTCAAGCTCCCTTCTTCCTTATCCCTTAGTAGTTGATGGGATAGTGGGTGGGCTGCCTGCCCTGCCCCTGACATAGTCCGTATCCTCCTTTCCTGGTAGAGAACAAGGATGCTTTACACGTACACACACTCATGCTCACACACAGAGAGAGACACACAGAGGCCTTCTCATCCTAACCACCGTTTAATAAGCACGATTCTGACCCCTATGACTTTCTGTTTGCTGGAGGTAGCTCTCCCCCTATAAGCTGTTCTTTAAAACCTCTTAGCCTTTCTGCGTGTGCTTGGTGTGGTGCATGAAAAGTCGATTCTTTGTGTTGCTCCCATGTAGAGGGGAGGTCGTGAGGTTTAGACCTCTGCTATGTCTGGCGGGGCGTGGGGAGGGCTCAGAGGGGACGGGAGTGGGGTGGAAGGGAGTGACGGCTTATTTACTCCTCACACTTTCTCCGCTCCCTCTCAGAGGGGCTGGTGTTCGCTGTCCGAGCCAGCAGACCCAGAGTAGGCTGAGCGCACCTCATCAGAGCTCCTCGTTAGCTGGGAGAAGCCACAGGGGGTCCTCTTAGCCACTGAGAGGCAGCAGGGCTGGGCTGGGCAGGGCAGGCCAGGCCTTGGAGTTTGGAGGGTGGGTTGGGGGCAGGTTGGTGAGGAGGGGTGGCAGCATACCAGCCGCAGAACCTTCCCGGCTGAAACCTTGCTTCTATTGCTTCCCCCGGCAGGTGCCCATTCTGCATTTATTCCACCAACCGTCCCGCCGCCATGGAGTGCCACCTCAAGACCCACTACAAGATGGAGTACAAGTGCCGGATCTGCCAGACGGTGAAGGCCAACCAGCTGGAGCTGGAGACGCACACCCGGGAGCATCGCCTCGGCAACCACTACAAGTGTGACCAGTGCGGCTACCTGTCCAAGACCGCCAACAAGCTCATCGAGCACGTGCGCGTCCACACTGGGGAGCGGCCCTTCCACTGTGACCAGTGCAGCTACAGCTGCAAGCGCAAGGACAATCTCAACCTGCACAAGAAGCTGAAGCACGCCCCACGCCAGACCTTCAGCTGTGAAGAGTGCCTGTTCAAGACCACACACCCTTTCGTCTTCAGCCGCCACATCAAGAAGCACCAGAGTGGGGACTGCCCTGAGGAGGACAAGAAGGGCCTGTGTCCAACCCCCAAGGAGCCAGCTGGCCCTGGGGCCCCGCTCCTCATCGTGGGGAGTTCCCGGAATCTCTTGTCTCCCTTGTCGGTCATGTCCGCCTCCCAGGCTCTACAGACCGTGGCCCTGTCGGCCGCCCACGGCAGCAGCTCAGAGCCGAACCTGGCACTCAAGGCTCTGGCCTTCAACGGCTCCCCTTTGCGCTTTGACAAGTATCGGAACTCGGATTTTGCCCATCTCATTCCCTTGACAATGCTGTACCCCAAGAACCACTTGGATCTCACATTCCACCCTCCCAGACCTCAGACTGCTCCTCCTAGCATCCCCTCACCCAAACACTCCTTCCTAGCCTATCTCGGACTGAGAGAAAGAGCGGAGACTGTCTGAGGGCAGCCATGCTCTGTACCAAAAACCAAGAGACAGACAAAAAAAACCCCACAAAACTTAAACACAACCCCAGCAGGTGTATGTTGCTGCAAAACCCACAGACCTCCTCGGTCTGAACCACGTGTACTGTATATCTTTAGTAAGGAATAGAAAATTGGCTCTGTGTGTATACCTATTGCATTGACATGAAAGCTGCTTTATTCAGTCTTCAGAGAGGTGACCTACTGCATACTTCTACCTTCAGAGGCATGCCTCCCAGCCCCACCTCCCACTCTCACCCCTGCTCCGTACTTTTCTTTTCAAGGAATTTTGTCTTGTTCAACCCTCAAGAGAGTGTCCTTAATAGCAGTCAGCACTTGTCAGATTATCTACCAGTGCATTTTGTTTTCTGTTGGGTGAATGGGGTGTGTGGGCGTTTGTGGATTCTGAAGGAGAAGGCCGTGCATGTGTTGTGTGCCATGACGTGTCCACCACACCTTCTCAGTACTGCTTACTTAGCAGTGATGAACATCCTTTGCCCTCCTGGGTTGTTCATGCGCTCCAGTCTCTCCCTGAGCTCCTTTAGCACCTTTCCCTCTCAGCTTTATGGCTATAGAGCAGTAGGGCCTGGTGCTTAGTTGGTGAAGGCATGGTAGATATCTGCAGTGCTGCTGGAGATTTCCGACAGAGTGCTGGCGACCTTGGGCTCCTGTCTTCTTTGGTTATGAAGATGCGAGGAACCAAGCGACCCATCTCGGAAGAAATACCTCGCAGCACTGCAGCTAACATCACAAAACCTAACCGTGTGTGTGTCCGTACGTATACAATGTGTATGGTTACACACACACACAACGCATCGTTTTTTAAGGGCAGATTATATATATATATGATGTATTAATTCAGTGGTTACCATTTGTTTGCAGGAAAAAAAAATTGTATGAGTGAGAACTTTTATGATTGAGAAATCCAGCCAAGGAGATTAAAAGGGGTTTGGATAAATTCTGGGTATAAATGCTCAGACTAAAAAAAAAAAAAAAAGAAATGGCAGTTTTGCACAGTGCTTTGATCTTGCACTAATTTTTGTTTCTCATCTGCAGCAAAAAAAAGTAAAATAAAAGGAAGAAAATGTACCTTTTATATGGAATGAGTAGACTGTATGTTTGAAAATTGAGTCCCGACCTCTTTGACACAACAAAAAGGTGCTGTTTCCCCCTGCGGTGTGGTTTATGCCCCTGAGAAGTTTCCATCATGTTTGCAGACCTCTGGCTATCCCCATGTCTGTCCTCCGTGTTGTTAGTAATTCTGTATTCCATTTTGTTCACGCCTGGTAGATGTAACCTGCTAGGAGGCTAACTTTATACTTATTTAAAGCTCTTATTTTGTGGTCATTAAAATGGCAACTTACGTGCAGCACTTTATTGCAGCAGGAAGCGGACGTGAATCGGTGGCATGGCCCTTTGCTCAGCTTAAAAGGCAATGGGTGATTTAAAAAGGAAAAAAAAAAAAGAATCTCGGGCTGAATATGTTAATGGCTTTGTATTTTTAAGACAACAGAATTTCCAGTATGAAGCAGGCTGAAAGAGCAGGAAGAAATGTGCTTTGTATAATAATGGGAAGTTTGGAATATAAAAGTTTATATATTATTTATCTGTTGAAGAACTGGTGTACAGGAGGAACGCTTTCTTACTGTGTTGCTGTTTTCCATCATGTGTTATCCTAGAGTTGGGATTTTTTTTTTCCATCTGTTCCACCAGGGGAAAATAAAGGTATCCCTCGTTTTCTCCCTCTGGTCAGTTTGCGTCACTGAAAGCCCCTCTAAGTTAGTACAGTTCCCCCGGAAGCCAGAGACTGTACTGTGCATCCACTCCCTTGTCCCTCCGTCTGTCCTTCGCACCCAGCCCCTTCCCCCATCCCTAGCCAGTGTGCAACACTCCCCTCTGCCTGTCACCCAGCCACCGAGGGGGGCCTGTTCGGTGCCCTGGCAGACCTGTTTACACTAAGGAGATGTCCCCAGGGGCGGGGAGACTGAGCCAGGTAGGGCTGGAAGCCTCCGCCCCCACAGTCATTCTCCAGCAGGGACATTTGTTCTGGGCCACGTTTGAAGCTCTGTTCAACCTCGCCACGTCAACATCTCAGTAAAGGACACTATAGACAGTTACGGACGATACACTCCAAGAGTGATGGACCTATGGGTGGGCTGCGTTTTTAAAAGTAGTGTCTTTATCCCCATACAATGGAGAATGTGCCACTTGGCTAATAATGTGCTTTCAAAATGACGAGTTCAGTGATGACAGGAAAGAGGGCCACGGGGATCCCACGGAGGCTGGCAGAAAAGGCGAATCCTGCGTACGCACCAGCAGGTTGAAAACCTGAAAGGGTGGCCCTGACGGTCAGGATTGTAGGTTTCACAGCGTGCCACTTGTGCAATATGAGGTCCTAGGGTGGAGACTTTCAAGAGCGAGAAGGGGGATGGAAGGAGACGTTTACTGCTCAAATGCCATGCATTTCACTGCTTGCCACTGAACCTGCATTTGAATGACTTCATCATGCTTAATGTAATTGGGCAACTTTTTTAGCACTTTGGAAAGAGTCATCAGTCTTTCTGGTAAATTATAAAAAAAAAAAAAGGTTTTCTGAGTGAGAAAAGGTGTGTTTGGAGTTTGTTTGACTTTTTATATTATTATTATTATTATTGTTATTAATAAAGAAAAATATACAGCATTTTTCAGACTCCATCTAGATAAATATGTACCCCTGAATTCGGTTTGCAGTTTGATACTCAGGGAAGGATGTATTCCATAGATATCCTTTCCATGTAAAACACTAACGTCTTTGAGAAATTCATCTACCGACTAGCTCCAATTCTGTTTTCACTATGCATTCTTCAATGAAAGCTAGCTTATTTTTCCATATAGTAGTGCAGTTAGAGTTCTCAGCACTTTCTCTCTTCTCTCCTTTTTTAACTCCTCATAACTACGTTCAGATGATCATACTGTCAAGGTTTGTGTACATTACTGAAAATTTGTATTGTATAAAGCTTTTTGCATTACAAGGCTGTACAGGGTCATTTTGACAGTTACTGGTATATTCCTTTGCATCTTATGTTGCATTGCCAATTTCTAGTGTATCCAGTTTGGAAGTATAATATACTCTAATTAAAAAAAAAAAAAAAGGTTGGCTATACTCTTGTTTCTTTTTCTTTCTTCGTTGCCATCCTTGACTACTAGTTAGTCTCAGGGTTTTATTTGTCTTACTTGTTCTTTTTTTTTTTTTTTTTACATTTCAGTGTACTTTAATCAGATTGAGGAAATGTTATGAGTTTATAACTGCCCCGGGTGGTGCAAACAGTTCACGGGCTCCGCTGCTAATGGAAAAGTTGGACATTCGAGTCCACCTAGAGGTGCCCTGGAAGAAAGACCTGGTGATCTACTTCCAAAAAATCAGCCACTGAAAGCCCTAGGGAGCATAGTTCTATTCTGACACACATGGGGTTGCCATGAGTCGGAATCGACTTAACAGCAACTGTTTCGGTTTAGTTATAACTGTTACAAAGTGAAAGTTTTAGAGAGTCATGGTCATAATGCACATTGTGACTGTATAAGTCATTAATAGCCATTAAGGTTGAGAGCATATCCATCATCCAGCACAATTGCAGGCTGACTCCTTCCTGAAATTACTTAGTGACATTTAAGTGTTCACCAGCCTTACCCTCTCCTGCTTGACATCATTTTATTGGCCCCATAGCCAAAGGGGCCGGGGGGACAAATGACAAATTCCATTTATCTTAATGAAATTAGGCAACGATGAGATTTTAACGAGGGGGAGAGTGGTTTACTTTGCAAGCTAAATAATAATCCATTGAAATGCAAGTAGTAGTTCACCATTCGGGGGAAGGTACCAGGGAAAAACGGAAGCCAGAAAGGGAGGTAAAAAGCACACGGATAAAACCATCTTTTTTAAAAATCGGTTTAAAAGTTCTGACCATCTGAAATCTTCCCCGTGAAACTGTGGTGGTTAATAAAAAATATACAAAGCAACAGAAGAGAATGTTTTGCCTGGTTCACAACTTGCGTGCTTGGGAATATAATGTCCTGTGCTTATTTCAAGAAATTGTGAACCGCTTCACTCTAACATTAAAAAGGATCAAATTTACTTTTTATAAAATGAGATCATGTAGGAGAAGCCACTTTGAGAATGATCAGCAGGTAATCAGACACTATTCTCCCCTTCCTTTTCTCATCTAGCAGCTATCTTGTAGATGATTGAATCAAGTTCTTTCACTTGCTACAAATACCAATTTTGTTTTGGGGTGGCTAGTATTTATGGAAAATATTAAAAGCAAATCAAACTTGTTTTTTGCTAGCACTGCAGGAAGTGATGCCTTCTAGTTTTGTATACATTTTTTTTTCTTAGACCCCCTCACATTTTCCCTGTGGTTGAGAATAGCCAGAAATATAAAGAAAACAATTTCTCCTGAAATGGGCTTCCAGTAACTTTGAGAAATGGTTTAGAAGAGAGCCCCCTTCACTTATCTAGAGAATGCTGCATGTGGATGTGGGTGTCTGCCAGCCGGTAATGCGCACACCCTGTTTGAATTGTAATCCAAGGACATAGATAACTTTTCCTTGTGTCATGCCACATAAACATGTTTTAAGCTAAGACTCAAGGCCACGTTCTCTATAATGTGTCTGTGGCTAATTGGCTGCATCTGGTGACCACCACCAAGCTCTGCCTGGCCACTTACCAGAGAAGCAGCACCCGTCACAAGGGGGGACAGAGAGAACTATCAAGACGATGGTCTCCTCATCCACAGTCAGAAGCATCATTCAAGAAGTCTTGCCTGACAAAGGTCACATGGGGCTTGGGAACAATTTGAAGGGAAAGGCACATCTCATTAGCTGCATAAACACAAATCAATTCACCTTGGTGCTTTCAGCCCATGGGGAGGAACCAAGAGCAGCTCTGTGCATGTAAGAGGGTAGGGAGGGAGCTAAGTGATTTCATCCAGTTTTGCAGAAGACAATGTGAAGCTGCAGTCCTTCCTCGAAGCAGCTTAGAACCTGTGGGCAAAATCTCAGGATAAAACAGTACCCTGGGGGATTCAGGCTCCATTCTAAGGAGCCATCGATCACCAATGTTCCAGATACCCCAGTCAACATTCTTTCTTACACCACTCACTCAAAACAGAACAGCCCCCACACAAAGTGGCATTTATTTTGCAGGCCAATCACACTTAACTAAGCAAGCAAATGCCCATGAAGCAGTCTCTGGAAGAAGTGAAGGGTGGTGACTCTCTGGGGATGGGGAGGCCCATTCCATCAAAGGTCTGCACGGTCTCAGGTTGCTAATCAAGACCTCTTGTTTTATATGAGGTAGTAGATCTCCGGGTCGTAATTCTTTCTTGATAGCTGGATCTGTAAAACAGGCAAATGCAAATCCTGTTCACATTGGTAGGAGCTGCAAAAGGGAGAAGGAAAACCAATTGCCGTATCCCTTTGAGATTCCTTTTTGATGCAGTTAAATATTAGGTTCATTCTTGGTTTTCAATAGCACAGACCTGGAACAGAGACTCTACCTCAATTCACACTTCAAAATTAATTCCCCTTAAGCCAGTCCCTACAGGTGGCTTTCTATCCTGTTTAGTGAGAACATCTGGATTACATACAGTATTGTCCAACCACGAGGGACATAACCATGGAGACAGACTACCTGGTTTGAAGCCTGGTTCTGACATGAATGAGGGGTGTGATTATGACATACAATTAAGCATCTTTGTCTCTCATACTTTGCACATGTTATCAGGAGTATCCACTCCCCGGAGAAGGATGTCATGCTTGGTAAAGTAGAGGGTTGGTGAAAAAGAGGAAGACTCTCAAGGAGACAGATTGGCACAGTGGCTGCAATAATGGGCTCAAACAGTAACGACTGTGAAAATGGCACAGGACTGTGCAGTGTTTCGTTCTATGGTGCATGAGGTTGCTATGAGTCGGAACCGACTTGACAGCACCTAACAACATTAAGCATTTTATAAAAAGACAGATTGAGCACGTCATTATCATTAGGGTAATGCAAATCAAAACCACAATGAGATACAACTTCATTAGGATGGCTAATATCAAGTGTGATGAGAATGTGGAGAAATTGGAACTCTCATCCACTGCTGGTGGGAATGTATGATGGTACAGTCACTGTGGAAAATAGTTTGGCAATACCTCAAACAGTTAAACATAAACAAACTCCATATGACCCAGGAATTTCACTCCTAAGTATATACCCAAGAGACTTGAAAGCAGAAACTCAGATATTTATACACCAATGTTCATTGCAGCATTATTCACTATAGCCAAAAGGTGAAAACTACCCAAGTGTCCATCAACAGATGAATGGATTAAAAAATGTAGTATATTCATACTACGGGATATTACTCTATCATAAAGAAAAATGAAGCCCTGATACAAGCCACAACATGGATGAATCTTGAAAAATTATGCTGAGCAAAATAAGTCAGACACTAAAAGACAAACACTGTATGATCCCGCTTTTATGAAATACTTAGAATAGGCAGATGCATAGAGACAAAAAGTTCTATTATTGGCTACCAGCGGCTGGGGGAAAGGGGAGATAGGGAGTTACTACTTAAGGGATACTGAGTTTCTGTTTAGGGGAATAAAAATGTTTGAAAATGGATAGTGGTGATGGTTGCACAACATGGTGAATGTAACTAACGTCGCTGAATTGTACACTTAAAAAATGGTTAAAATGGCAAACATTTTGTTATATATATTTTACCACCCACACACACACACAAAACAGGTTGTCTCTAAGACCCCTTCCCAATCTAACACACTATGATCCTAATGCTCTTTCTAAAAAGAAAACATCAGCCTTTTGAAGCAGATGTGGGTTGCAAGGCAGAATCCTTACAAGGTCATTATGACAAAAATGGCACCTCAAAGTTTTCCATCCACAACAGGCTCAGGGGAGGAAATAAAACAAAAAAAGTCTAAAAATACTTTTCTGCTCTCACTTCAGAGTTTGGGAGGCCTGAAAGTTTCCCATTTAAAAGCTATAGTATGATGCTTGGATTGTCTGCAGTCATCTTGAGAGAAGTTTAAATATATTTTACCTACTGTGGGTACCTCATCTGGTTAAACGAGTTAGGGGTTAGCAAGATGGTGGTACAAAGGTTTCATCCTGCCCACCTTCATCTTGCCAACACTGCCCCCTCCTTCTCCCACCACCTGACTGCTCCGAGCCTCCTGCAGGGCACTAGTGCAGTTGTGAAGCAAAGAGCTTTCTGCCCACAACCTTTCAAATGTTCCGTTTTCTGTAGAAGAGCAAATGGCTCCTCTTGACAGATACGATGAAAGATGTTTTAGTTTAGTATAATGAACGCATACACTGAATATTCTTATTCTACCACTTGTTTAGAAAGAGTCTGACCCCAAGGACTCTAAGCACATTATGAAAGTTATCTCCCAGGTAGTTCCATTTGATGGAAAGGCTCCACGTGTTTACAATAACTGATTTGTCCCTGTTATCACACAAGGAAAGCAGATAGGGGACACTGAGCTTCTGTTAAGGGTGATGGAAAAATTCAGGAACCAGTTAATGGTGATGGTTGAACAACATGATGAGCATAATTAATTGCAGTGAACTGTCCTATCAAGATTGTAGAAACGGCAAATGTTTTGTTACCTATGTATTTACCACAATTTTTTAAAAAATTTAAAAACCAGTAAAGCAGAGAGAGTACACACGAGGCCAGGAGCAGGGAACGTTATTTAGCCATCCTTGCGCTTGAACAGGAGTCCCTGGGTAGCGCAAACAGCTAAGCTCTCTACTGCTAGCTGAAATGTTGGCAGTTCGAACCCACCCAGAGACACCTCAGAAGACAAGCCTGGCAATCTTCCAAAAGATCACAGCCTTGGAAACCCTATGGAGCAGTTCTACCCCAAACACATGGGATCTCCATGAGCCAGAATTGACTCCACAACAAATAACAACAACAAGGGCTTGAAGGTAGGGCTCCATCCAAACCATCCTAGAAAGGTGAGTATCACTCAGATCTTAAATATTTCTAGATAGGAAGACACCATTACCTGGCTTCAGGTTCTAGCTCTTATTTTTTTATAATTGCAATTGCTCATCAATGGTCCACAAAGTTTTCAGTGTATGTTATA